ACTTGCACTTGTGTTTTCTTGTTGTACGGGAAGAGCTGGAAAGTCCCAAAAATTCAAATAGGGCGTGCCGCGACAGCTCACCATTTTGAAGGGTCGTTCGCCGCGTTCTAGCTTGTTTCATGCCATGAAAACGACCTGACTTTTTGATCATTTGCGACGCACGACAAAGAACGGATTCTTTGCTACAGAATACGAACCTTTGGTGAAGTGATCGACCGCGATCAGGCTCTACAAACTTTGCAAAAGTGAAACTTCACTGAAGGAAGGTTGAGGTGACTTTCATAAGGTCAGCGGCTGGTCTAGCTTTTCGTAACCAGGTGGATCTGTTAATGTGGAAAAAGTACTCCTGATAATGTGTCAAACTACTCCTAGAACTCTGGCACATATGCTCGAAATTCCTCATTATAAAGGAACCGGCTCGTCCCTGACAGGTAGCTCGGACGCACATTCCACAACCAACCCTGCAGAAGTTGGACAAGATTGGCTACGAATTAGTCCTGCGAACATCCTACTCGGTAGACCTTTTGCCTATAATTTGTCACTTTCTCGACTACCTGGATAGCTTCTCCAAAGAGTTATGCTTCAAAAACCAACATGATGCGGAAACGACCTCCGCCGGGTTCATCGTCTCTAGAGCTCCAGTATTCTGCACTACCGGGCTGATTCAACGCAGCTATTATTGGCAGAGGTTTGTGGATTCTAACAGTCTTTACTCCAATCAAAAAGGTTTCGAATGAGCCGAGATACAGGCATTTGAAAATCAAGGTCGAAAAGCGCAAGAACTTTCTTCACGACCTAATAATAGTTATTATACCACTTAAATGTGTTCTCTGACCTAAGGCGAAAAATAAGCTCTTCTCGGAAGGCATAATCAAACCGGCAGTTGTAAAAGGTTGGTAGAACAGAAAGTGATAGAACAGTAACGCTGTTCAAGTTTTGAAAAAAAAATGATGGAACATTAAGCAGTCCGCGAGGGAAGGATGAAGCAAAGAAGTGAACGGATGGGGTGAATGAAACGTCACTGAGTGTTGAAGGAGAGAAAATTACAGGTAATGAGGTAATTACGCCAACCTTCCAGGGTCCCTTGGAGCTTCTGTAATAGGCGTAACGTCGGACCGCGTACTCATAGATCTCAGAGAGCGTGATCTTCTCCACCTGACGTTCTGCCATTGCATCCATAATCAGCTGAGCATAACTCAGCGGAGGTTTCATGTTTGTCGAATGATAATCGATTTCACCAGTTGGCTGTAAAAAAAAGTTATTATTGATTATCAATCCAGCTTAACAACAGGAGCGGTATTGGCTGCGACTTACCGAATCGACAACGTGCAGTTGTTGCTGGCACGATCGTCGTTGCCTTTTCCTCGGAAAACCTATGGATTTCTGAAATGGATACACGTTTCCTCCTATGAATATGTATAATATGTATGCTGCTTGTAAAGAGATCCCTGACCCGTTGTTACGGGAAACGATGCATGAAAATAAACCTTTTTTGGTGGGACAAGTGTCGGCGAACAAGGAGAAGCAGCTATATTGAGGAACCAGTCCACATCCGGTAGTCTGTCCGAATACAGTCCCACCATTGCACCTGTAGAACACGAGTGACTCTGCCTTGAGGTATTAGTGAAAACAATAATGAGATCGAAAAATGCAACCATATGTGTACGAAGCGAAGTGATCAACAGAAAGACTTCTAGATAGCAGTTGAGTGTATTAGCAAAAGCAGATCCCAAACAAGGTTAAGGAATAGCTAGGGCACCCATACGTTGAAAAGTGGCCCGATGTATTCAAGCGTACGGAAATTGGGGTCGAACGATGATTCCGCTAAGGCGTGGACGACGAGGCAGGTGCGTGCGTATGGAAGGGCTACCTGACTCTACCTCTGCTCTCCACCTTTCTCCACCTCTTCTCCGATGAGGTCTGTGGAGCTCGTTAACGTGCACCTGTCACTGAGTCTCAGCTGCAACCCTCATATGTGGTGGACACCACAGTGGACGTTGGCGTCATCTCATCGACAACCTCGCCACGACCCTCGGTAGCGCGCAGCCCCCGGCAAGCTCTTGCTATTCCCGTTCGCTCCTTTCGTTTGCACACAGCCACACGCACACATACACATACATGTGAAGCCCTCCGCCGCATGGTCATTAGGTCAGCGCCGATGAAATTACTCATTACTAGTCTCGTCAAGCCGATAATGCCGTGATCGCACACCTCAAATGAGTACGCAGCCAGTCGTTGAGACCTGCTGGGCACTGATTGTCTACGTACGACAATCAGCGGCCATATACTACCCTAATTCATATTCAATTTATAACCAGTCATAGCCGCTACGAACACACGTTAGACAGAACGTTCGACTTGGCGCGCCCAGCTGAGAAAGTAATGGGAAAGAAAGGAATGCAAGAAGTGCTAGTTGTGAATAAGTTCATAGTGGTAAGCAGACGTTAAAGGGTGGGAGAGGCGTCAGCAGAAGGATCCAATCAGATCGACACGAGCAGCAAAAATCCGTAGGCTGTATATATTCCGCCACATTGTTAGCAAGTAAAAAAAATATTCTTCTAATCAATATTTTCAAGTTTCTTCATGGAACACCTGGTTATGATTGCACATAGGAAAGTGCGAGTGAATGAATTTTGAGTAATTAGTTTCATTCCAGCGATCTCTGCATATGTATTGTTAGTGAGCCTTGAAGAAATGCGCGTTGTGTGGCACATGGGGAATGCATAGAAATTGTACCTACGATTTTGTGAAAATAAGAAAAATCAGTTGCGCACAGAATGCAAACATCACTCACATATGTACACATGCAGTTCGTAGACATAACTGCATGCCGATCATTCTCAGAAAATAAGGGAATTCTCAAAGACTTAAGAATAGTCTGGCGTCATCTGATTTTGCTGGGACGCAGTAAGGGACCATATAATCCACTAGGAAAAAAGAACTCGAAAAACCCGAAACGGCAGTCGAAGGGCTTAATAATAGAATAGAGCGAAGAGAATGGGACTCAGAATAAAACATGGTGCTCCACACTATTTCAAGATATCCTGTTTAAAATCGTAAGCTAATATTCATTTGAGGCAGACGATCAGACAGGGCCTGCCCTGGAGCGGCATTCGTGAATCGAATAATCTTCTTACGAAAGCCTACCTTGTGATTATACAGAAACCTATAAACTAGCTGTCGTTGAGGAAAACAGAAATTAACATGTTCAACTATCAAAACAAGTTAGTAACGCAAGAAGCCACAGTAATATCCATCGATATTGAATGAACAATGTTTTGAGTACTCTCCAGCCTCCCCCTTCTTATAACCTCGACATAGCGTCAGCCTCCGAAAGGCACAAACAACTAACACTTTCAGACGAAACGCGAGCTATCGAGCAAAGGTCTGTACAGGTTCAAGCTTAGAGCACTGTCTGTACCCACAGGAAAACCAAGAGGACCAAAATGTTCGATGCTATGATACATAAAGCTGGTAGCCTTAACTCACAGAAAGTTGTGAAGTCGTTCTTCAATTACCCTCGCCTTTTCAACCATCCTGTAATTCTGCCATCCAGCCACATTCTGGCCATCAAACATTCAATAGCGATGTAATCTGTTACTTGAACAACTTGAACGCTTTCAACATACTACTTATACTACTGTAAGCAAAGTCAGCTGTGATCACAATGAAGAATTATTTCAAGTCTAGTACGGCGTAGAACCACCTGCAGGTGAGCACAAAAGTGATGATGATATCAAGCTAGTAGACCGTAATCGTATAACAACTATTTTTCCAGGGTCCAATGAGATTTGAGGTGATGAATAGGTAAGGCCAACCGTCATAAAAGGGGCTACATCATTCATAAGCTTAAAATGAGTACCTTTCTAAAGAATCAATAGGAACGAAACCATGCAAATGATCACCGCACCTCAATTATCCCTCATTAGAACAGCCCAGCATAGGTGGCACGAAGCCCGAAACCATCAACAACGTTCGAGAGCAGTGCCATATTTCACGTATAGCATCAATTGGAAACGAACGAGTTCGTACGTAACTTAACGTAACGTACGTAAATAAACGCATTTGTGGAAAGTGGCCAAATGACAAGATTCCTAGTTGAAATCGGAAAATCGGAAAAGAAATGAAAGGACAGCAATTCAATATGGATTAAATCCGCTAGAGATGGCGTTTATTCCAGAGCCGTGGGCAGGAAATGGAATTAGTGTAATAAACTTAATGACGACTATGTCACGTTATATGGGAATTAAGATGAAAAAAGTAATTCCATAAGAACAATCATACACGCTGACAATAACATATGAGTAACTTATAATGAAATTAAATTTAAGGCCACTAGCAATGAATGGGCGAGAATGCGGAGATTCAACATGGGAAAAGGGCAATCACATAGGAAGCGAGGCTAGTGAGTTCTTAGAGCCATGTGTGATACTTAAAGGCATAACCCACGCATAGTCCTGTGAACGATTCCCTTCAGTCTGTAGAATAGACTCCTAGAGGACAATCACAGACGTGGCATTCCCGTGCACGGAAATCACCGACAAGAGCGCTAGGGCCTTGCAAAGTAAGCTGCAGCAGCTGCATTTTTTCTTCCATCAGGCTGTTGTCTGGCGCCCTCTCATCTGTTGCGCTCTCTCGCCTCATACTCTCCTCTCCGCGCTTAGTCCTTAGCACAGCCGATTAGGAAGGTGAGTGAGCCCTCAACCTAGCGTTTTCGACGGATTCTTTTCCTTTTTTCTTTACTGCCGGCCCATTTCCCACCAATACATTCGCATTCGTGTACAAGAACCACACCAAATTGATCCTGGGCATGTCATTAAACATATACGCATGTCGAGGTTATCCCAATAGAAACTGATCGTCCATGGTCAGTCAGTAGCAAACGTGGTGTAGCCTTTCTAGGATGCGCCATTATAGTACATCTTGGCATGATCATAGAGGGATTTGAATATGTATGTACTTGACTAAAGGAGTGAAACGTAGAGCAAGCCCCACAACTCAGCGATTTCATGCTTCCATACAAATCATACACAAAATACCCAGCTGCTTTGGACTTTGCCGAACTGTCGACCTGATTACTGTCTCGTACCTACTATTCCTTGCTCGCTTTTATAGTATAATCCAGAACCATGCAACGAATTTTGGGACGAAATTATGTACAGGAATTGAAACTTTAATAAAAGAATTAAGTAATATTCAACGCAAACAGCCGAGAATCTCGAAGTAAGCACCCGCTGGATCTGACGGCTAGGTGTGCCCACAATGGGCTTCACGACGCCGACGCCGTCCTCTACAAATGTAATTGATTTCTGGCAGTGTACTGATTAGCTTGTCTCAGTTGTATTGTATCAATTGTCAATTATTATAATTGTACATAATTTATCAACTGTCAACAATCGCTCGCTGATTACTAGTTATCAATTTGCTTTGATATCGTCTTCACTCTCGTTGTGTATTCTGCAATGCAGACCTAATGCGACAGGTACGTGCTCAATTTCTTGAGCACAACTTAAGTAGTAGCCTTAGTATCACAGTTATTCATATCGAATCGGAGTTCTATTACAACATGGAATACCTTATGAAGTCAATTTCTGAACTCGTAAGTCCATCATTTGGGAAGGTTCGAAAATAGTCACTAATCAACAGTCGCTCATGCAATCTACGCCCGCTACTTTTTCTCAGCTTGATCTTATTGCTCATACAGTTGGACATTTAAATCTAAATTCGGCGCAATGTGGCTCGGAGGGGGCCAGTCGCCGCGCGCGGCGTTGCGGCAACAGGAAATTCGTGAGCCAGGGGGAATGTAGCCAATTCAGGGGGGTTGGGGGTGAGGGCAGTCACTTAGCATGCGTGAGAAGCTGGAATGTTCCGTGAGAAGCTGGAATGTTCGAGTTACACTACATCGCTGAGCCGCGCGCGGCGACTGGCCCCCCCCGAGCCACATTGCGCCCTAAATTCTTTCGAGTTCTATGTATCCGGATCTACATATTAGATTGGATAGGATATCCCCATGTCTACTAAGAGAGGTTTGTCAATATACTCCTTTATAGTGCGAAAGCCTAAACACACATATTGTGAATCTTGTCCTACAAAAATCTTCAAATACGCAATATACAACAGACGAATATACAAGATCATAGCACCCAAACTAAACTTTGCGACTTCTCAGCAGAAATTTCCAGCTTATTGGTCAATTTTTAATCTTGATCTCAAACTTTTCGAAATTTAGCCACTATCTCAAGGGTTGACAAAATATTAAATCCAAGGTTGTACTCTGTTGAAGAAAATGTTGAGTAAGTAAAGAGTAGTACCACATCAACAGTGACACAATAAACTATTAAGACGCTATCGCAAGAGCACTGATTCGTAGCAAAAGGTACAGCCGTTAAAACGGCTGCTTGTAGGAAGGGCTGACGTTTAATAGCGCAGCAGGATGCCTGAATATTTGGTCAGCACTGCCCGGTAATTTCTCAACTGGTCGTTAGTTACTGAACTACCTTGCGGGTCACTTTTTAATAAGTTCGAAGAGTGAAATACTGGAAAGAATTGATCAGGCAGCTTAGTGCTGGTCGTCCAGTGTCAC